TGCTGAAAACCTTTCAGAAGCTCATATCTCTGTACTGCTGCCAGTGCTGTTCACTGAGTCTGGGTCACAGGAGGCGTCGGCACCACATTAAGACACAATGTGTGGTGGCTACAACAAAACTATGAAAAAAGTGACATACTGTGAGCAAAAGTCACCTTAGGCCATTTTGTTGCCAGTTTCCCTGACATTGTTACAGGATTTAGGTTTGAAAGTTCGGAAGAATTTTGAAGGGGAGCAGTTGATACAGAATATTTGTCTGTAGATGTAATTTTCTCAATCTTTGCTGTCTATCTGCTTTCTTCAGGTAAGGTGAAGATGGTGGACCGGCTTGCGAACAGTGAGGCCAACTCCAAGCGAATCGCTGTGGTGGAGAGCTGCTTTGGTGCTGCGGGCCAGCCACTGGCCATCCCAGGCCGTGTGCTGATTGGTGAGGGTGTCCTCACCAAACTCTGCCGCAAGAAGCCTAAGGCTCGACAGTTTTTCCTCTTCAATGACATCCTGGTCTATGGCAACATCGTCATCCAGAAGAAGAAGTACAACAAGCAGCACATCATCCCTCTGGAGAGCGTCACCATCGACACGGTGCCGGACGACGGTGACCTGCGCAATGGATGGCTCATCAAGACGCCCACCAAATCGTTTGCTGTGTATGCCGCCACCGCCACTGAGAAGTCTGAGTGGATGAACCACATAGGGAAGTGCGTGGGAGACCTGCTGCTGAAAAGCGGCAAGGCCCCGACAGGTGAGCACGCCGCTGTCTGGGTGCCCGACTCGGAGGCGTCGGTTTGCATGCGCTGCCAGAAGGTAAAGTTCACAACGGTCAGCCGCCGCCACCACTGCAGGAAATGCGGCTTTGTGGTTTGCGGGCCATGCTCAGAGAAGAAGTACCTCCTGCCCAGCCAGTCGTCCAAACCTGTTCGAGTCTGTGAGTACTGCTATGTACAGCTGACGTCAGGAAGCTTCCCGCCAGACTCCATCGGCCGGCTGGGGTCAAAGTTCAGCAGTAACAACCTGTCGGATGATGAGGATGAAGATGACAGCAGTGACTGAGGAGCGTCCAAGCCTTGCGATGACCTGGCCCGCCCCTTCGTCGAGGAGGAAGTACTCCGCTGACTCTTTTAGTTTCTGTCTCCTCCCAGATGATCTCACCACGCTTGTTAATTCACGTTGGAGTTCAGTCACAAACCAAGATGTTCAACTTTTCCCTCTAGTATCAGCAGGGATCAGTAGGTTCCTGAACATGGTGATTTAATCATTGAAAAGTGGAATTAACCAGGTGACCAGCAGAACTGTGGGGAAGAAGTCAGACAGTTCATCGCTTCCACTCTCCTCAGTCCGTCCTTCTCTCTCGACTCCTAATTAGGCTGCGATTAGTCACTACAGAACACAATAATGCTAATGAGAAACATCCCCCCGACCTCCACTTAATTTCATCCTTGAGGATTTCTTTTTCTAATTTTTTTTTCATGAACTACAGAAGGTGATTGCTTGTAATTTCTGCAGGGAAAAGCAAATGTTTGAGCTCTAACCTTTATCTCCTCTGTCCTTCAGGCATTGTGCCAGACAGGGCTTTTTTCTAACAAACGTTTGCTCTTTTTCTGTTTTGTAAATTTGTTTCCAGCTGAAGTAAAAATCCTTTTTATACATAACAAAATATTACTCTACACCCAGAGCTTTTCTGGTTGCTTCTGACAAATCAGCTAAAGCGCCCCCCACAGTGATGAGTGTCTCTGTCAACACACTCGTGAGTTTTTTCAGCAGCTTCCTCAAACTAACACTACCGTCTGCCTATACCATCACGTAGTGCCTTGTAAAGAAGAACTTAGCTCAGCCTTCAGTAAGAAAAAGGTATTTTGGTAATGAATCCAGGCAGCAAAAAACACAGGGACTCCATGATAGGTTGTCTCTGAAACACATTACACAGGGTGGAGTTGTTTGGTTTGTGTGCTGCAAACAGAAGAGGGGGGAGATTACCAAGCAGCTCCCACAGGAAGAGTCCGCTTTGGACTGCCAGACACATGGATGTCACTTCACCCAGCCAGTCTCTGGTACTCTAATGAGAAAAGCTTGTTTAAAAGCTGGGTGCTGCTTTTCAGATTGAGCTGCTAAAAGGCCGTTTTCCATTGAGGGAACTCAACGAGCCATAACACAAGAGCCTTCCATAACCTGAACTCAAGGAACCTCACAGTGGGGCCTGCCTTGCGTTTCTAAGGCAACAGCACCTCATCAATAAAACAGGACATTTAGTTAAGTGCAGAAAAATTGGTCAAACATTGCATCATTTTTCTACAGCGTTTAATAGGATAGATTTTCACATTTACATGTTATGAATTTTGTGACCATGAAATATTCAATGAACCAAGACAGCAGGGTGGTGGAAGGATGCAGCACAGTTACTGAGCTTGTTTAGGTTCTAGACAGAAATGAAGCTGGTCTTGTGCTTCTCCAAAAAAAGTAAATGTTGCACCTGCAAAAGAAACGGCCATGCAAACGTGTCTGAGGGACTGTGGTGCATGTTTTTTTTTTTGGTACAGCCCAGAGAAGCATAAATCCAGCTGTAGTGTAAAAAAAAAAAAAAAAAAGTCTTTTTCATGGACACACAACACGTGCACATGGACTTCAAGATGTGTTCAAAGAGATGAGTTGGTTCTTCTTCAGGTGAAAATGTTTAAAAATGGATACCACGCACATATAGACACTAATGTGGTTAACCCTCCAACCTGACCCCTGACCAGGGTGACGAGCAATTTTTTTTTTTTTTTTAATTGATTCTGCATTTTAAATGGCCTCATAACTGTACTTACTGTGAGCATTATTACACCCCTTGACTACTGGTAGTGAATACCAGTGCTACACAGACATTACTGGGAAATCTAATTAAACTGGTCCTGTACCCTACAGTCATCAGACACAAACCAGATTCTCTCCTGTTTATTACAACAAGTCCTGCTTTATTAATTGTAGTGTTGGGTTTAATCCCCCTAAGAACAGCTGGGATTAGTTTTACCTCTACCAGTGCCATTATTTATTTCCATGACTCCAGAACTGGCCTGTGGCAACAGCTGCTTGTAAAGCAATGTGTCATTAAGTTCCTGGAGTTGGGAAGAATCTGTGTCAAGGGCAGGAAAAGAAAGTGGATTTCTTTTGGCTTTGTCTGAGAGGCTGTGTGACCAGAGAGACGCATCCGCATTATCGTTTGTGTTAGAACTGGAATCAGGGATGTGAAATCAAGTAATGCTTCACCGCGAGTACATAGCAGATGTTTGTGTAGAGATTGTTCAGCACTTGGCTGACATCTCTGCTAAATGCAATAACCAGCGAATGTTAGGGCCTGAGTTGTTTTTTTGTAATCTCATGATTGTGTGTTTTATCACAGTTCCTCTAATTCCTCATTTTTCAGGAGTTGGTTGCATTTACTGGAATGGGAACAGTCAGGAAATCAGTGCACCGTTCTCTGTGAGTCTTTCCTGTGTTGCTTTGAGGTTAGACGGCCATATGTTGCCACAAAAATAAATAAATAAATAAAATAAATAATGCACCTCTCTGAACCCTGAACAGGAACTTTTATCTACCAATGCAAGCAAACAAGACCATCAATTCTTCCTTGTTTCCTTCTTTCTTTTCCAGCACCAAAACTTTCTTGTGACATTTGTGAATCATGCGATCCTGAATCAGGAACTGAAAGAGAAAACTGCTTGGGGAAATTATGAAGAAAAACCTGCTGCAGCTTACAGAGAGTTCAGGGTTGCTCAGATGTGCGTGTGTTCAGTTTCTCTTCCCATCGACTCCTCTGAAGAGTTTCATTCCTTTTTGAACAGGCAGTTTTCAAAAGCCCTGCATCCACAAATGACTCCTGTCACACTTGCACAACCACAAAACACCTGCCCTGGTTCCAAAATGTGATCACAGTTTTAAAACTAAATGCTTCTAATAAATTAGCAAAAGGTGTATTTGTGTGACTTTTGTGTGGGTTTTACTAGGACCAGAAACAGAATTAAGGAAGTCGGTCTTCATACGTCCAACTCTTTGTGTATTTTCTCTGTGGATTGATACTCTTTTTCACTGTAGCACAGCTGAAAACACCACATGCAAATCTTGTGTTGGTCCTAATATCAAGGTAGTATCTGAAGTCACTTCCTTTTTACTGTGTAGTGCACTTCCTTCCCTTTATTGAGTGAAATGTATACTCATATGACTCACAGAGGTACAGAACAGTCCTACAGCGTAATGTGATGTTGAAAAATTCACAGCCCTGTGACAAAATTTGCTTGATTTCCACATGAATGTGTAGAGAACCTGTTGACTGCCATCTATAGGAACCAGCAACAGTCACTAGCATGTTCCGGTTCCACCTTCTTTAATGCGAGGAACTGATGCATTTCTTTGTCAGACATAAGAATCAGCTGAGTGTCTGTGGATCTGTTGGTGACTGAAATGTTGTGTGCTGACAGCCGGTCACAGCAGAGTGACCGGATCACCGTCTTTTGAATTTAAGGTTTTAACTTGTTTATGTTGCTGCAGTAAAAGTAACCAAGTGATTAGAGAAGTTAACACATTGTTGATGACTACCCAGCTGTCCTGTATACTCGGTGTGGCCAAGGTGCTTCACCACTAAAACCTGAAGCACCGAGCCCGGCCTCAGGTGTGCTGTGGATTGCACACGGACTCTGCCCTAGGTTGATATTGCTTCATACAGTTCGATCCACAGTGGCTCTGTTGGAAGTTTTCAAATGAATTATCTTGTTTTAATACTGTTGACTTTTGTACAAATTCATTTTTGGTTTATTCTGTTAATTGTACAGCTCTGTAATGATGCTGTTTCAGGTCTTACTGTGCTCCGCCCCCTGCCACACCAGCAGCACATGCAGCTGTTTTGCACTCTGTAGGATTTTAACAAAAGCAGGTGGGAAAACATCCTTTCTGCCCTGTTCACAGCACCCAGTCTGTTCCTGAGTTCACCAGCCAACCACTTTTGTGTTTGGCCCCTGTCTCTTAGTGAGGTCAGAGGTCAGCAGCTCTGTTTAGACACTTTATCAGAACAGGGGTAACTGGTTTATAGTTGGCTCTCCCCAGTGAGCTGACTAAGAAACCAGACGTGACAGAGAAACTCAGCCTCTCAGCTAATTACGCTGATTTCCTGCCCATGTACACAGGCAACCAGGTTTCTTCCCAGCTTTTTATGTACAGGACAAACACTGCAGAGAGAGGTGTGTCACTGTAGCTTCAGATTTTGAAATGAGATAACCAGGCTGCACATAGTGATGTTTTCATCTGTAAAATAACTCCAATCAGAGTTCGACTGAAACTGGCTCCAGGCAGCCTCTAAATGTGTAGGCCTCACCAGCTCAACATTTGACTGATTTTTATTCAAGTTCCAACACATTCACAGTTAGAAAAAGCCTAAAAGCTCTTTATGTCCTGGGACAGTCACACCAAACCAACAATAAAAAGACTGTAATTAAGTAACTAATGCTTCCAAAACAAACATGGAGGAGCAGTCTTACCACAGAGCCTGCAAACACATTCTCTGCTTTCTTAGGGGGTTGTGACTGTTTGTTTCTTTTAACAGCAAAGCTTTGATTAAGGAAATTGTCCTGATCTTATGTAGTGTTTTTTTTTTTTTTTGGAGGATTTTTAAACCAGAGCAGTGCAAACCATCAAATGAATTAAGTCTTCCCTTCAGCCCTCAGAGTGTAACACGGTCATTCTTCAAATGCCACTTTTGACATGTTTATTCTTGAGCTGCATTCAGTTGATCCTTATCAGCTACATGAACCTGTGGATTGATGACAAAGCCACTGCAGATTGTAATAATCAACCACACACAAACTCCAGTGTTTGTTCTTGTCAGCAGCCTCCAGGTGATGTCAGCTGTTACATCCATTTATGGCTTAATGACAGTAATGGAAGCTATGTGGATACAGTGAGCATTAGCCCTGTGTTCCATACCTCTGAATCACCACCTAGGTCAGATTTTGTTTTAGCTTGGGTGATGGCTGTTTCTACATTTGGAAAACAGCAAAGCCATTCAGGTGTTTGTAGGATTACAGCTCAAATGATAATTTTAATGTCTGTGTTGTTGCATGATATGACATCTGAGGTCTACAGACAAGACAAGTGTACAAGACAGAAATCAGTCGCAGATGCAGACATCCAACATGCACATCCCTTTTCCGCCGTGTTGGCAGAGAAGTGGGCAGATGACATGTAACAACATCTTCCTGAGCTGCATCATATTTTTAAACTGACCCATTATTTCTTTTGACACAAACATTTTTATTTAATCTTTATTTTACCAGGAAAACCTCAGTGAGATTAAAGGTCAGTTGGTGAGTTGGTGTCCTAACTGCAGTGGGACAGATGCATCAGTGCTATCGATTGCATAGCTTGCATCAATCCCCTGGCCCTAAACAGGCCAGTCTTATCATGAGTATGATTTCAAAACTGAATTGTCAATAAGCCACAGTCCATCAAGTAAACCTTGAGATTAACACCTGGAGGGTATTTCAGGTGCAGCTTTCTGTTGATTCAGATGTATGAATTGATAAAGGTCATCTTGAACTAAGGCTGTCAGCCATTTTCGTTGTTGTTAATTAATGGATTAAAAAAAAAACTGTAAAAATACACAGAGTCAAAGCTGATACCTCAGGCCAAAGCCTGTACAAAAGAGATTTAAGTTACATTCATGTAAAATTGGGGAAAAGCAGCAAATTGTCACACTGAAGCAGCTGGAGTTTGGTTGGAGGTTTTGCCTATCACCACCTGCATGTTGGCTCCAAACCACTAAATTAACTTTAGAGTTAATTTAGTGGTTTGGAGCCAATGTTAAGTTATCAGAACACTTTGTTGATTGATGATTAATGGTTAAAGTTCTACTCTGAATGCATCATAAATTCATCAGCAAAAAGCCGAGGAGCCAGTTCAGGACGCTGCCGCTCTCAGTGTGAGCACAGCAGGTACGGTCATTGTTCAGGTGACTTAAAGAAGAGCTGAACATCCTGAGATTTAGAAACAGCAAACAGATTTTTTCTGGTGGGAAAACAATGAGGAGGCGACTCACCACAGCTGAACGAGAGATTGTATTCAGTGAGTTTGGTTTTGCTGTGCGAGCTGCCCATTCTGCCTCACAGGTTTTAATGTTCTCTCTCTTCCATGGGGGTGTTCCTCCCCCCCCCACAGAATGTAACGCTGCATATCATTGTTCAATACTACTAAGAAATCTTTGTCTATATTATATATAAATAATGTTTAAAGTCAAACTGTGTCATTTGTGTCTTCATTCAGTTCTTCAGAGTGGAAACACGTAGGAAAACAATAGATCACTAAATCCAGTTTGAAGAGGTTATCAGCCTGCACCAGCAAATTACACTTGAATTGGGTATATACAAGCTCTATATCTTCATGCAATGGCAGAAACTAAGTATACTCTAGTACTGTGCTTAAGTATAATTTTGAGGTACTTTAACTGAGTATTTCCATGTGTACTTCACTACTTTTCAGAGGGAAGTGTACTTTTTACTCCATTGCATTACTTTTTAATTTGCTAGTTTGTAAATGAATGTTCTAGGTAGTGATGGTTGATCGAGGCTTTTTTGAAGCTTCGACACAGTATTCACAAAAATGGTTCATTACTGGAGGCTTCAATGACACAGTGCTCAAGTAGGACATCTAGTGGTCAATAAAATGACGTGCAATCGAGATGTGTCATTGGTTCATGTATTGTGTATTGTTCATGGTCCTTTATTTAATAGTCTTAATAAATCCACCTTCCTTTCTCCTCTAGAACCTTCTTCAACAACACTTAGCACTTTAAGTACAAATGTGTGATGCTCCTGATTTTCTTTAAAGTTCAACCACATTTCATAACAAATCAGAGACTGAGTGCAAAGTCACAATAAACAGAGCAGATCTGTTTCAAAAGAGTGTTGTAAAACACATTCAGCAGAAGAAAGCTGGGCCAACTGCTGCAAAATATTTGGCCCAGTTTACACTTTGTATTAAAATGCGCTTAATGCATTCTGGGCGATCGTATCACCACTGAGGAGGATTGTGAAATCACTCCTGGATCACTGAAATCACTTGCAGAGCTGGTCTGCCAATCATTTGACCACATATTGTATGCAGTGTAAACAAAAATGCATCTCCGACAAGACCATTGCAAGAAAATATGTCATCAATGCAGGACGTGACGGCTATTTTGGTGACAATGCACCAACGCTCAACAAAATTAAAAATGGAGAGAAATACTTCATACAAATCCATCACTGTACTGAGAAAGCTTTTACAATGCTTCCATGTACAAATCTAATGCTTGTCTGCTTGTTCTTTGGTTAGGGAGACTACTGGCGCTTGTCTGGTTACAGACTGAAGTAATAATTGTACCCGTGGCCATTGGATATTTAAGTGGTAGTGAAACCTGAACACAAGTAGTCAGCTGGATATTGACGGGTGTAAACGGTGATGTCTCAGCTGACCACTTGTGATCCGATCATCCAAGGCGCATTTTAAAACCAAATCTAAACTGGGCCTTTGAAAACACTGAAGTTTGTGCTTTTTTAAAAAAGAAAAAAGCGCATGGATGCGAACATACCAAACTGAGATGATGCTGGTTGATTAGGGACAAACTGTGGACTCAGAGCACACAGAGCAATTTCTCCAGCCAGTGTTTTCATATTAAAGCACGATGATGCCAAGCTGAAATTACTCTTTGTGTAAAAGCGTTTTGATAACTAGTCATTACCCACACAGCTTTGCTCTCCACTGCAGAATGGAGTCTAATAAGGAGCTCATTCAAAGCCAGACACACACAGACTTGTGTTTTTGCTGCATTAGTCAGTCTCTCTGTGCCCTTGGCAAGTTGAGCGGTTGGTGCTTTCTTAAAAACTGTGACAGCACTCCATTTTCTCTGAAACTGAAATGCACAGAATTAGCCATGGAGGCAGAGGATTGTGGCTGGAAAGTTAGTCTAGGTGCCCACCTGATGACCCTGTAGACCTGCCTTCACTTCTTCACCCACACACCTTGTGTTGGTGAATAGTTAACTCACTGGGGTTGTTAGTGGTGTAGTCTTCCTTTGTTTGATGATCTTGGTAGAACAGTGTCGGTTGGACAACTGAGCAGACCTGGCTCTCAGAGGTGACTGCCACTACGAGCCAGCTGGACCAGCCACTGCTCAACCTGAGCAAATATAATGCAGATGCTGTCAAGCCACATCTCTGCTCTTTGCCTGGGTGAGGACAGGGTTCAGGGATGATTTGTATTAAAAGTAGGTTAGGTGTGGAAAATGGTGTTGCTCATTGTGGGGCTCTGAAGATGTATGATGGCATGTTCTGACAAAGGTTGGTGACAGCTCCAATTTCAGCATCACTGAAGCATTCAGCAAGATTTTTGAAGTCAAAATACAATCTCCAGAAGTAAAAAGCTAATATATTGTTTAGGCTATAAACACCATGGCTTCTACCCTATTTGATTTAGTGCGCTTACTGTACTTCTATAAACTCCTTTCCTCCTAACATGACCTTATCAGGCTAATGATCTTGTCTGGGTTAGTTAAAATAGATTGTAAGTGTGTAAGTTTAAATACAACAAAGCTGTAATGGCAGACTAGGGAATAGACGAGTCTCTGTATTTGACATGATAATATTACAGGCAGCCTCAGTAGTCTCATTTAGCCTCTTATGAGAAAGGTGTAAAAGCCTAAAAATCACGAGTGGGGTATTTACTCATGTATTTTATGTTGTAGAATAAAACATGGAAGTCCATTCATCTTGTCTTAACCACGGACCTTATTTCAGGTGTTTAACCAAAAACCCATTGAAAAGAAACTCAACTGACTTCAGTTCTGGGTTTTAAGACTCACTACTGCGGTACTCTGTTTTGCCCTTAATTACTGCAGACAGTGTCGTATAGTGTGTCAAGTATGATTTACTTCAATGGCTAGCACATTTTTTTATAGCCCAGTTTAGCCTACTCATTAGTTGGCTAATGCTTGTTTCAGACTGGAGGCTGCCTTTTGTAGTTTGTCCAAACCAGGCATCTGTAGTTTACATCATTGCTAGGAAACAGGGCATGATGTGAGGGGCAAAGAGCTTTAAGGAGCAATTTATGGTGAGTTTGAGTCTCACTAGACATTAGGTAGAGCAGCTTTAAGTAGTTTTCACTCTCTAGCCTTATGTGCAGTGGCTCATTCTGAACATGTTTTTCACTTTTATTTTTTAACTGAAGCTTCTAACTCTAATAACAAACTTCTACACACACGTCAGCTTGATGCGCTGAAAGCAGAGCCTGTGCAGGACGAGGATGATGAGTATTTAATGGAATATAAGTGTTGTCCTTTTAAATATGAAGTATCAGTTGTCACTCATCATCATCCTCCTCAGGGAGATGTGCATTGCTTCTTGAACTTCGGCGTCAGATTCTCATTTATTCACATGCAGACACTGTTGTTTCGGAGGCTGAGCAGAGAATAGTCCTGACTCATTCAGGCTGCTCAGTGAAGATCAGTGATAATGGCTGTAGTGTCGCCGAGCCATGAGAAAGCTCAGGCTCAGTCCTGTCCATCAATATAATTACTATTATGTCCTTTTAAAACGCCTCTGTACTTTCTCCTCTTGCAGTTTGGACCTTGTAACCTCCCATACAGAGTAGAGAGTTTCATCCTTTATTTTCCACTTCAAAAACTCGCCAACAAATTGGGTTGTTCCAAGAACCAGACAAATTTCTACTTCACCCCAAATTTAATATTTTCATTGAAATCATGACAGTATATCTCCTTGGTGTGTGTTTGTCTGCTTGTTTGGCCAAAAGTCTGAATCACTGAAAGGATTTTAGTCAAATGCAGACCTGGTAGACACCGTATGTTTAGTAGTGACACTGTGTGACAGGTCACTGTTTTCATCATTACTAGATATGTGACTTTTCTCGATACGATTAAAAAATTCAATGACAAGAATGTATTACTAGCTGCAGGATACTTAATACTTTACTCCTCTTTTTTTCTAGCACTGGTTTGATTATGTAAAAAACAACCAGCTATACTGACTTATTCTTATTTACAAAAGAATGAAGATAGGAAGTTGCTGGTTAATGGAGACCACATGATAGAGGTGTGTGTGTGTGTGTGCATATATATACACATGTATATATAAATATATATATATAGCTAGACAAAATGATAGACATTTTTATATCACGGTATATTGAATTTCGATATATTGTCCCCTGCCTAATCATGACCAAAATAAATATTTTCAGTAAATATTTTTTTTCTGCATTGACAGCACCTCTTATGCTGGGTGAATGCACACTGCTGACCTCTGCAGAGTTTTATGTTTGTGTACACTAGCACCAAGAAGTAGTTGAATACATTTACTAGGCTGCTACGTTAACTGCTCTTAACCTGTAGCAGATATACATGTATCTGTATCGGTGGGGCAGCGGTATGCACTGTCACCAAAAGGTTCAACCCTGCCGTCCAGATGGGGCCTTTCTGTGTGGTGGCGATGCACTGACTTTTTCAGATTGAGTACCCGTCCATACAAAGTACTGATAAAAGTACTTGATAAGTACTCTTAGTAGTCAGTGTTTGCTCTTTTAACTTTTGTTTTTATTGCTGTGCACATCAGGGGACTTTAGGCTGCAGTCAAATTCCTTGTATTTTTGATAATTGGCAATAAAATTTATGCTTATAATAATGAAAACAAATTTTCTCACTTTGCCCTGCTGTTATCTCTCTATGCAGATTAAGATTTTTTTTTTCTAAATGTCTGCTTAAATGTTAATACAACAGAGGTGAATCCAGTTCTTTTGTACTCCTTCGAGAACTGAAACAACAATTCAGCTGTAACTTCTCTTTGCAGAAACCAGGTCCGTGTTACACTATCAGCAATTTTGACATGGGCAATGTCTATAGAAGAAGTTGTCTCGGAAGTCAAACATCCAGAGCTAGACAGCGCCACAGGTAAGAGTTGGATGAACTGAGCCTTTCAGTTTGTTTACTTCAGCTCTGTGGAGGACAAAATGTTTCATTAGTCATAAATTACAGTACATGTTCTGTACTACGAAACTCAGTGGCCGTGCAGCTGATTAAATTTGCATTTAAATAAGAACCAGGAGCAGCTTCGACTTCAGTACAATTTAGCTGCAATTTTAAAGGCAGTTCCACATTAAATAGTTTATTGGGCACAGAAACAAGTTCCACTTTCTTTTTTCCTTGTTTATTTATATTCTAGTTTCCTCCCTTCATCTTTGTTCAGTCTGCTGAGCAGTGACGATATGAGCTCTTCCTCATCTTCTTCCCAGGTGTGAACTGGATCTTCACCTTGTTCCTGATTGGTCGACCCAGTCCCACACGTGGACGGAGCCGTCTGAAGCTGCAGACAGTAACGTCCTCGGCCGATCAGGATGCCAGACATGGGAGGTGATGAAGACGGGCACGGCGTCCTCGGACTGCAATGAAACCACATGACCACGATGTTCAAACAGCAGCTGAGCTTCCTGCAGCTCCGTCGTCCAAACTGATGTGTCATAGATGTGAACCGCTAAAAAGGAGGAAGGTGAGAACTTTAATCTTCACCCTGTAGGAACATAACCTAGTTTATCACATGGCTTTGATTTCTCTAACTTTGGGCACCTTTCATTCTGTTACGACAGCATTATACAGTGGTGAGAAAAAGAGAACCATTTGGAATGACCTGGTTTTCTACATTTGGTTATAAAATGTGATTAGAACCATTAATAATCATGAAACTAATGCCCTTTTCATCCTTATCTCAATTACTGTCATAATTAAAATATACATGTATTTAACTATCCCAGTCATAGCTTATTATTCACCAGATGCGAGCAAAACATGCTCGCACTGAAAGAGGATGCTGGATTTACACCGATCAGCCACAACCTTATGACCACTGGCAGGCGATGCAGAGGGAACTCAGTTCCTGGTTCGCATTTCCTGTCGGTGCATAATGGATTTGGTGGCCCCGCCGAAAACTCTGCAACCGAGGGTGAGGCCGGAACCCTGGTTTGGCACTAAAATTCGAGCAGCTAGAAAATCCTGCCGTAAGGCGGAGCGTCGGTGGAAGAAGGATGGACTACAGGTGTCATTCCAAATCTTAAAGGACTGCTGGCGTAACTACCAGAAGACTGTTGAAGAAGCTAAACGAGGATATTTGTCATATTATTTTATCTAACAGTCACAATCCGCGTGTTCTGTTTAAAACAATTGGGTCTGTGTTGGACCCTCCACAGTCTACCTGTTTGGAAGCATCAGTTGAGATGTGTGAACATTTTTTACAGTTTTTTAATGGAAACGTTGCCACTATAAGGGCTTCTGTTCCAGTTCCTGTGTTAGATCCGTCAGACTGCGCCCCCTGCCTGGCTGTGTTTGATACATTTGAGCCGGTGACTCTTCCATTTTTGGAGGAGGTGGTTAGCCAGGTTAAGCCATCTGGCATCCCTAGAGATGCTATTCCTCCATCCTTATTCAAGGAGGTCTTTCCTTGTATAGGAATGCTGGTTCTGGCTATTATTAATAGCAGTGTGTCCTCTGGCGTTGTCCCTGGACATTGTAAACATGCAGTTGTGCAACCTTTGCTTAAGAAGCCAGGTCTTGATCATTCTATTTTGAATAATTTTAGGCCTATCTCCAAGCTGTCTTTTATTATGAAAATTTTAGAGAAAGTGGTCTTTATACAGTTGAAATCCTTTTTAGATGAGCATAATGTATTGGAGATTTTTCAATCTGGTTTTAAAGCTCGGCATAGTACAGAGTCCACATTATTAAAGGTTTTTAATGACATCTACTTGGCAACAGATGCCGGTGGCTATGTGATTCTTGCCTTGTTGGATTTGACGGCTGCTTTTGACACGGTTGACCACAACATCCTAATATCTCGACTTGAGGAGCTAGTGGGCATCCGTGGTACTGACTTGAAGTGGTTCAGGTCTTATCTGTCGGATAGGATGATGTCTGTTCGTGTTGCTGATGCTGAGTCCTCGTCTACCCCGTTGGTATCTGGGGTTCCACAGGGCTCAGTTTTGGGGCCCCTGCTCTTTTCTTTATATTTACTTCCTCTTGGTTCTATTTTCAGAAAACATGGTCTTTCTTTTCATTGTTATGCGGATGATGTGCAGATTATATGCCAATGAGGGGAAGGGATACATCATCAGTTGCATCATTGTCATGTTTTGATGACGTTGGGAACTGGATGACTTTAAATTTATTGAAGTTAAATGACATGAAGACCGAGGTTATAGTGTTTGGCCCAAATAACTCTGGTGATTTTCCCCCAGTGGATTTAGGTTCCTTGGAGCGGTACGTGCAGTCGACCGATACAAACCTTGGTGTTAAAATAGACTCTGATCTTATAATGGAATATCAAGTGAATGCGGTTGTATGGGCCAGTTTTTATCATCTCCGGCAGCTGGCAAAGGTAAAGCC